TACATAATAAATAAATAAAATCTTTTTTTAAAACATTCTTTATTAGAGGTACAGATCTTTTACCTTCCTGACTGAATTTATTCATTAGTATTTTGCTTTTTTAGATGCTGTCACATTTCTATTTCAGATGGGTTGTTTTTATTCAGAAATACAGCTGACTTTCAAAGATTGGTTTGAATCTAAAACTTTACCAAACTCACTTATTAATTAATTCTTTTTGTGGACTCTGTTGTTTCTGTATATAGGTTCATATCATTTGTACGTTTTTTAAATGTCTTTTTCTTCTATAATATTGTTAGACTGTCTAGTTCACTATTGAACAGGTGTGGTAAGAGTTGGCCCCTTACTCTGTGGAAGATCTTGGAGGAAAAGCTTTTAGATCCCCCTGTTATGATATCAGCTGTAGTAGGCTTTTGTAGTCATTAAACAATTTATTGTTTATTTTTTATTGTGTGTATACTTATGTCTGTGTGGGAATGTGCATGTGAGTGCAGGTGCCTCCAGAGGCCAGAAGAGGGCGCCTGATCCTCTGGAGCTTGAGTTACTGGCAGTAGAGAGCCACCTGATGTGGCTGCTGGGTACTGAACTCAGGTCCTCAGGAAGAGCAGCAAGCACTCTTAGTGTTGGGCCATTTCTCCAGCCCCCATAGTCTTCATTATCTTGGAAAACACCCTTTATTTGCAAGGTGTTGAGCTTTAAAATTTTACTTATTAATGTATCCATGTGTGTACAATGTGTACATGTATGAGTGTGTGTGTTCCTTGATGAGAGTGTGCATGTCAGAAGACAAGTTTCAGGTTCTCCTCTTCTGCCTGAGGCAGGGACTTGCTTGTTTCTGACTTCAGGCTAGCTTGCCTCTGAGCTTGTGGATTATTATTGTTGTTGTTGTTATTTTTGTCTCCACATCTCATTTTGCTACAAGAGTGCTAGGATTGCAGATTTATGCTACCACATCTGGGTTTTTATGTGGGTGGGTTCTGCTGGTCAAACTCAGGTAGTCAGGGTTGTGCCGCAAGTACTGTTCCTGCTGAGCCATCTGGCTGGCATCTTTTGTTTCTTTTAATCAAGAAAGGATATAAAGGGCTGACCAGATGGTCTAGCAGGCCAGGGTGGTTGCCATCAAAACTTACAGCCTGAGTTCAATCCCTGGAATCCATGTGGTGGAATGAGAGGACAGACTTCCACAAGTCATCTGACCTCTACATGTATTCTGTGGCATGCATGAACACACACACACACACACACACACACACACACACCACACTAAATGTTAAAATGAAGACTTCGTCAAACACATTTCTTTTCTTTTCTTTTTTTTTTCTTTCGGTTTTTTGAGACAGGGTTTCACTGTAGAGCCCTGTCTGTCCTGGAAATTGCTCTGTAGACCAGGCTGGCTTTGAACTCAAGAGATCTGATTGCCTCTGTCTCCTGAGTTCTGGGACTAAAGGTGTGCACCATTCACCACCCCCTGGCCAAGCACGTTTTCTATATTGATTGAGATGATGAGTGTTTTTTTCTTCCTTTCTGCCAATGTTACCTATCACATTGACTTGTAGATGTCAAGTTGTTCTTCCATGCCAAATGTAGAGGCTCCTTGGTTGTGGTATGATCTTTTTTGTATGTTGCTGCATTTGGTTTGCTGTGATTTTATTAAGATTTTTTTTTTCATCATCAGAGTCTCTTAGAGATATTGGCCTGTTCTTCAGAATCTGGGTTTGGCTTTGGGGCTGGCCTTGAAAACAGTCCTCTGGCTTTGTAAAGTCCTCTTTTGTTTGGAAGAGTTTAAGGAGACTTGATATTAATTCACATTGGAATGGTTGAATTCAACCACGAAGTCAGCTGACCCTTGATGTTTTTCCTTGTTGCTGTGTATGGAGGCTTGTGTCTTAATTTACTGCATTTTTAAACTTTTGATTAACAGCATCACACTGCACCCGCGCACATGAACAACACCTGTGTCCAGTGTGCATTAGCCATGGAGCCCTGCATAGGTGGTAGGATCTCTCTTTGAGATTCTACCTCCTAAACTGTAGGAGGTACAAATGTAAACCACTGTTAGTGAGCTTTATCTGGAGTGAATGCCCCCACTGGCCCTTTTGGTGATTTTGGGGACTGATTCAGTTACATCATCAGGACACACCCATGTGCTCAAGAAAAATGGCCAGATATTGAATTTTTTAATTGTGTGGTGAGCTGACTAGTTTATGTCAACTTGACACAGGCTAGAGTCATTGGGGAGGAGGGAGCCTCAATTGAGAAAATGTTTCCATAAGATTAGGCTGCAGGCAAGCCTGTAGGGCATTTTCTTAATTAGTGATTATTGGGCAAGGGCCAAGCACTTGGTGGGTGTTGCCATTCCTGGGCTGGTGGTCCTGGGTTCTATAAGACAGCAGGCTGGCAGGGCTGCTTGTGGTGAAGCACGCCTTTAATTCCAGCACTCGGGAGGCAGAGGCAGGTGGATCTCTGAGTTTGAGGCAAGCCTGGTCTCCAGAGCGAGTACCAGGATAGGCTCCAAAGCTATATAGAGAGACTCTGTCTCGAAAAACCAACCAAACAAATAAATAAACAAAAGACAGCAGGCTGAGCAAGCCAGGGAAAGCACACCAGTAAGCAGCCTCCCCTTCATGGCCTCTGCATCAGCTCCTGCTTCCATGTTCCTGTCTTGTTTGATTTGCTGTCCTGACTTCCTTCAGTGATGTGATATTGAAGTGTAAACTAAATATACCTTTTCCTCCCCAAATTGCTTTGGTCATGGTGTTTATCACAGCAATAGAGACTCTCACTAAGACATGTGGCTCACATATTAATTAAGATTTGTATAGACTCAAAAGGAGATCAGGAATTGTAAAGCAAATGCTATCATGTATCAGAATTTTTGGTTGTGGATTGGGAAAAGGTATTTTACTATTTAAATAGTGTTAAATCAGATTATTATGTTAAATTTTTATGTTATACTTGCAGAATTGAATTCTTGCTACTATTATAAAAATGTACTGCTTTGAATTTAATGTTCCTAGAACACGTCTATGGAATCTGAAATTATAATACTTCATTTGAGTTAAGATACAGATTTAATGAAAAGTTACTTGGTTATGAAACAAGGCTGAATATTTTAAATTGTCAGGCAAGTTTAAATGATAGAGAGAACTTGTGAACCTCATATTAAAATTAAGTGGGTCAGGGTGCACAGACCTCTCCAGACCTGTCAGTTCTGGCTTTTATTCTGATGTCCATGAAGAAGTGTTAGCGGTTCTCTTAGAGCTTTGCTTGTTTCTCTTAAATATGGAGAGTTGCCCTTTAGGATTTATCACAATCGGCTTAGTAGAGAAGGGTCGCTGCTGGGTTTTCTTCCAGGAGTCAGATGTGGAAGAACAGTTTTGTATCCTTCAGGGCGGGGCTTAAGCTGGAGCAGCATCAGCTTCGTTCACTCCAGCTAATTATGACTAATACCACTGAGTTCCTGCCGTTCCAGTTCTTCTTCATTTGGCTTTTCTAACAGAATGCCTGCTAATAAGCAAAGCCATAGATGAGTAGAGGATAAAATAATTGTGTGCTTCATTAACCATCGGTCCATAGCCTCACTTCTATTTAACGAGGGGAGAATAGTTAGTTTTGAAAAAAGTGCTCTATTGAGCTATTTGTTGTGTGCGATGGAGCCATTCTAGCTAGCGTGGAAAACAGACCTTGGGGCAATTTTCCTGAGTGCCGTATGTGAAAAAGAGCCAGCATTAACATCACACTCAACACACACATGGCTGCATAAGCATGCTAAAAGTCTCCTGCTTTTTGTTAAAGGCAAAATGGCATTGGTTTTATAAATTGTTTTTAAATTAGCATGCCAAGTAGCAAGCTTTATTATGACATTTTCGTGTGTGTGTGTGTGTGTGTGTGTGTGTGTGTGTGTGATTATCCTTTGTTGTAACTCACTCCTCCCCTTCTGTCCTCTCCTGCCTCTCTTATTCTCTGCTGGGTCCCTTTCTTACTCCTTATTTCTGTTTTCATGTCACATATTCTGTTATCCTCTCTTCCCCCTTCCCCATGAAGATCTCTTCTTCCTCAGTTATGGTCCCCCTTCTAGTGTGATCACGCAGACATACATCTCGCAACCATGTACGCGCACACCCACAGGTTTTAAATCCAGGTTTCATAATTCCTAGAAATCATGAATTATCTGTCTTTCTGCGTGGCTTTGTGTGTCACGTAAGGCCTTTCAGCTCTGAGCGTTTTCTTGCAAATGCCATGATTTCATTATTTTTAAAAAATTCCATTGTGTACATGTGCCACAGTTTCTTCTTAAATTTTTTTTTAAAAATTATGTGTCTATGTCTGTTTGTGAGGATGTATGTGTACATGAGTGTAGTTGCCCATAGAGGTCACAGATATCAACTCCCTGTGGAGTTGGAGTTACAGGTGAACCACCTGAGAGGGTGGCGGAATAGAACTCAGGTCTTGGGGAATTGTAGTACATGCTCTTAACCACTGAGCCATCTCCCCACCCACTTACCACATGTTCTTTATTCGTTGTTGGTGTTTGTCTCAGCTTATGTGCTTTTTATCGATAGTATCATCTAGTATAAATGTTCTAATATTATTCTTTTCCTGGTGAAAAGTTGTCACAGAGAGTTAGAGCTTCCCTGAGTACCAAAGACAATCTGTATGTTGCATTATGGATTTCTGAAGTACAGTCTGTTTTATTTTAATGAGATATTTGACTTTGATAACTTAAAGTAATTTAGTTGTAAAGTCTCTAAAATTGCCAGGAAAAATATACTTCAATACTTTCCCCCTCAGATGGAACCATTAAGTTTAGACTTTAACTTGACCTAACATGACTCATTGAGAATACATTTTAAAAAATAACTTACAATTGACTGTGATCAGAATATTTTGTAGGAAAAATTAATTTCAATTAAAACGTATATTGAAAATAAAATAATCTGCATGTGGCCATGTAAAGAGGTAAGTTCTAATGGCTGCATCCCATCTTGTTCTCCATGCAGCCTCGTTGCTGATCCCTGCTGGTAGACCTCTCCCAAGTTTTACACCAGAAGACCTGGTATGTAGCTTGTCTCTTCACTGAGGGGTGGCAGAAGGCTGAGCACAGATGTGGTTCCCAGACCTTGGCTTGAGTGGGAGGAGGTAAAACCAGAGGGGTCAGCAGTGTTTCCTATGCCTTGGAAAGCCTTGCAGCAAATGCATCTCCCTGGTCCTCTAGAGTTGTCAGCTTCCACCAGGGTTAGGACATTCCTGAAACTATAGTACGCAGGGATTTAATATGCTGTGTAGGTACATACCTGGTGCCTCTGAAGGATTTATCTTTTTCACCCGATTTTCTTTTCTTCAAGAGTAATCTGATGGCTTTTCATCCTATTTAAGTGGAATATTTTGTTTGCTTGTTTATTTTTACTTTGGTGAAGTAGAATTGTTTTCCATCTCTAGGACTTGGAGACAGGTAATACAATTATATGTATTTACAGAAAATCAAGCAGCTTTTAATTGAGAGGAACATGTTCCACAGTTCTTTCTCTTCCATGGCACTGATGGCCATAATCTAGGAACTATTTCACACTGTCTTTAGGTCCATGACTGCCTTTTCAGGGTCTTAGCTGGGTAGCCATTTGCCTTTATCCATTAAGATAATACCCCAGGACAGTTTTCTTGAGAGAAACTCTGTTCTCATGAGCGACCAATGGGACAGCTCAGTCTTTGAGAGGTACAGAAACATCTTTTTCCTTGATTACAGAAATACTATTCTATAAAAAATAAAAACAAATTCATAAAGCAAACCCTGAAAATCTATTCCCCAAAGATAATTGTTGTAATTGTTTAAAATGGAATCACTAGCTTATTTCCTGAATTGTCTTTTAGGGTATACCGTAGAATTGCTTTCTTTACTCTTTCTGTAATCTTACTCGCCCTCTCCCTTTCCTTCCTCCTTCACTTCCTTCCTCTTTCCTTGTTTTATTTTTCCCTTCTTTCTTCCCATGATCCTCTCCTTTACTAGTAAATTAACTCTCTTTGCTAGTAAAGTAAGATCTGCCATAATAGTTAGGCAATACTTCGTTGTTGGAAATTTTCCCGCTTCCCATTTTCTAATATAGAATTTTACTGGTTTGTACATGTCTGTTTGTGAGATAAATGATCAGGTAAATTCCCAGAGGTTGAATTTCTGAGACAATGGTAACATGTGATTTTCATTTTGGCATTTGCAAAATTGCGCTTCCAAAGAGTTGTCCCAGTCAGCGTGCACTCTATATAAATATTAATCTGAGAAAAGCAATTGTTTTCATCACACCCACAGCAACATTGCATGTTACTTATGCCAAAGCAGAACATAGCTTTTGCTTAAGGGGAGAGAGTGACCATAGCCTGAGAGCATGGGTTCAGGCTGCCACGAACAATGTGTTTATATGACCATTGATAGTCACAGAAGAAAAGACACAGTCAGCGCATTTAACAAATACACGAACAGGGCATCAGGCAGTGATGTGACAGCTCCGTCGCAGGTTGTAGAGGTATTTGAAGACATTCTTGGGTTCTGGGTTGGGGAAGCTAGTAGTCTTCTTATAGATTCCAAAGATTCAAACTGTCAGAGGATGTTAGATCAGATACATAGGTGGGTTATACATGGCTGTTATGAGGACTAAACAAATTCCAAAGTAATTCTGCCTCTTAATCTGCAACATTCCAACTTTCTACAGTGATGAAGTTCTAACTAGCCAGTCGGTGTGCATAATATTTGACAGTGATCTGGCCTTTTCAGGAACTCTAGTTCACACTTATCTCTTATATTTTTGCAGATCTGATAGAAAAAAATGTTTCTTTGTCTCGATTTAGTGGTTTTTAGAAACCCTAAGTTTAATAATAGAAAATTAAACATTATAGATGCACTATTATATCTGCATTAAAATGCAGCTAAGGATCAATTTAGAGTTTGGAAGATTCTTGCAAGCAGTTGTGACTCTTACATTTTTGAGAATCAGTGGTCCAGGCATAGCTGTGCCCTGAGCCAGTGTGGTGGGAGGGTGTCCATTCTAGTCATTATGATTTACTGGACTCATGGCTAACTATTGCAGTGGGATTCCTCATGATGGAATGATTTGAACCAAATGTTAACATGCTGTTTAGTCAGAGAACTTAGTCTTAAATGTTTGTTTATTTTTTATTTTATGTGCACACTTTTCTATGTGAGGGTGTCAGATCCCCTGGAACTGGAGTTACAGTTGTGAGCTACCATGTGGGTACTGGGAATTGAACCCAAGCCCTCTGAAAGAGCAGCCAGTGCTCTTGAGCACTGAGCCATCTGTCCAGCCCAACCTTAAATGTTAAGTGTAGTTAGACTAGGGTCTTCTAGAGAATGGTATTTTTGACTCTCTATGATAGTGTGGTAAAAGATCCAATTCCGGTGCTTTTATAACTTTCTAATAAGCACTTGTTCTGTCTAGAATACCTCCAGCTGTGGCGCAAACTTCACTTTTCCTGGTTATCCGATCCACGTCCCAGCAGGTGTGACCCTGCAGACTGCATCCGGTGAGAGCTAGTCTAAGGATATTCATTTTAGCATGGCCATTAAGTTATATGATCTTTTAAAAGTATTTGTTCTTTGAGAATTTCTCATGTATTTTGATTGCATCAACACTTCAGCCCCTACCCCCCACTTCCTGAAAGATTTCATGACTTTTAGTAAACTGTATGCTAGAGGCGATAGGAACCTTTAATAAAAAGTTTAAAGTGAAAAAATAAATCGCAGTTGTGATTGTTATGAGATCAGTGCACCATAGAAGACACTGAGCTGGGCCTGCCTTGTGGTTCATTCCCAGTTCTCTTATGAATTAGAGACTTTGTATATATTCAAATTCAATTCAAATCAGCTAGCTTAATTTTGTTGTTTTTAATTTAAAAAATCCATTAAATTAGGGGCTGGAAAGATGACTCAGTGGTGAAGAGCATTTGTTCTTCTAGAAGACCTAGGCCGGATTTCCAGCATCCACAGGGTTGCTGACAGCCATAGGTAACTCCATGTTCAGGGGATCTGGTGCCCTCTTCTGACCTCTCCATGAGTACTGCATGCATATGGTACATACATGCAGCAGAACACTCATACACAAAAAGTCTTAAAAGTCAACAAAAAGTTAGAATTATGTTTAATTTATTTGTGTTTGCAGGAGTGCATGGTGGGTGGTGGGTGGAGATACGTGTGTATGTGGAGGTCAGAGCACACCTTGTGTCTGTTGGTTCTTTCCTACTGCTGTGTGAGTTCTGGGGATGGTAACTTCTGAGACAGCTTGCTGGCTCATCCACCTCAGTTTTAGCAAATAGAAAGTGAAAGCGTATATCTCTGTTTTCGTAGTGCTAATTAAGGCTGACCAACCCCTGCCTGCTTTCTTACTCTACAGTTCACAGCTTAGTAGAAGGGTCAGGCTTCCAGGGCCTCCTCTGGGTTTGAAAAAATGTGCAGACTTATTTGGGTTGCTGTGAAGTTTAAGTTTCTTTCTTTCTTTTTAATTTTATTTATTTAGTATGTATAGAGTATTCTGTCTGCAGGTATCTCTTCATGCCAGAAGAAGGCATTAGATCTTATTACAGATAGTTGTGAGCCACCATATGGTTGCTTGGAATTGAACTCAGGACCTTTGGAACAACAGCCAGTGCTCTTAACCTCTGAGCCATCTCGCCAGCCCAAAGTTTAAGTTTCTAAGTCAATACTAAAATATAAGTTCTTTCTGAGTGTTGTTTTAAGGGAAAGAGGGGGAAGCGGTTTTGTGTGATACAAATCTTCAGTACAGGAAATACGTTTTCCATGATTACATGTTAAAATTCCACTGTGTGTCAATAACATCCATTTTTCAAGTAGAAGAGACTCATGGATTAAATATTGGTGGCCTGTATGACCAAAATAAGTCAGTTAAAAATAGGGGGAAAGGCTAGTGTTAAAACAACCATTTTTTTTAAGTAATGAATATTTATTGCAGAAAACAAAATATCTTACAATAATTCCTAGAGACAATCACTATTAGCTTATTCATATATCAATTCATACATTGAAATAAAATAAATTCTCTTATACGGATTGAGGAGACAACAGGGGTAAGAGAGCTTACACAGGATCTGAGTTGGAATCCCCGTCTCTTGTGGAAAAGCCAGTGGTGTGCAGAGCAAAGATGGGAAGATCATGGGACTTTCTGGTCACCAGCCTAGCTCCTGCCTGAAGGAATGAGGCAGGGAGCGACAACTCCGGACACCAATGTCCTTGTCCTTGAGCACACGGGCACACACCGCACACACTGCACACACCGCCGGAAGAGAACTGTCTTGTATCTACCATCTTGTTTTCTCCCTCTCAAGGTCACCTTTACAAAGTCAACGTACCGGTCATGGTGACACAGACTTCGGGAAGACCGGATGTCCTCCAGCACCCATTCCCGCCAGTCCTGCAGCAGCTCGGGCCGCCTTCGATGGTGCAGAGCGGTGTTCCTCCGCTGCACCCGTGCTCTCTGCAAGCTGCTCCCGAGAAGTCCCACAGAATGGAGCCTCTGCTGCTGCAGCCCACGATTGTGCACGCAGCACCGGTGGACAGGAAACACTTAGACACCGCGACCACCGAGAGGCGCGGTCTCCCGGCAAGTGAGCCTAAGACCCTGCCCGAAGCTCTGCTGAGGCCGCAGGATAGCCCTCAGTACATCAGCCTTCCAGGTGTGGGGTTTGCTCCTCACGTCACCCTGACGGAGCCTGGCCTGGAGCCCATGCTTGGTGTCTCCGCAAACGTGACTCAGAATCTTCATAGTGGTCCTTTTCCCCCGGGCCCCCAGGGCCCTCTCCACCACCACATGTTGGACACACAGCTTCATGGCCTCAAAGACAGGATGTATGGATATGACCCCATAAAGCAACCGAGGAAAACGGAGGAGCCCAGCAGCCTCCCTGCGTCAGAGAAGGTAGGGTTCTGTGTTCAGCGTCTTGGTATTAGGACGTAGACGGTGGCCTGTGGTTAGATCATCTAGGTTTTTCTTTTGAGGTGGAAGATGAATCAGAACTATGTACGCTTCGTTTTTCCCATAGAAAATTCTTTTTCTTTGTGGTGTCATGGTAAGTTTCACATGTCAGTTTGACCTAGGGGAAGAAGCAGGAGGTGAGTGTGATAAAAAAAAATGATATGAAATTTTCAAAGAATTAATAATATATTAAAATCCAAGACAGTATTGTTTTCTCTTTACAAACATAAACTCCTTACAGCTAATTCCATTTATTCAGTTTGTGTTATAATAGACAACGAAACATCATGATCAGATAATAGAGGACTGGTTTTCTAGCCCAACTCACAGTCTGTAGAGTAGACAATTAAGCACAACCTGACATTTTATCCTCAGAATACTTAAAATTTCTCTCTCTTTTCCTTTCCCCTGCCTTCTCTTCTTGTTCTCTCTTTTACCCCCATTTTCCTTTCCCTCTCCTTCCTTTCTTGTCTTCTCCCCTTCCCCCTCCTTCCTTTTCCTCTCTTCTCTCTCTGTCTCTTATGTTAAGATCTCACCTGGGGCCTGGCTGATGCTAGGCAAGTGCCAAGCCGCATCTTCACTATCTAACCCTTCCAAGCTATGAGGGAGAAGGGGTACAGTGGTGGAGGAAGGTGGGATATGGTGGTGGAGGATGATGGGGACAGCGGTGGAGGATGATGGGGACAGCGGTGGAGGATGATGGGTACAGAGGTGGAGGATGATGGGTACAGAGGTGGAGGATGATGGGGACAGCGGTGGAGGATGATGGGGACAGAGGTGGAGGATGATGGGTACAGAGGTGGAGGATGATGGGGACAGAGGTGGAGGATGATGGGGACAGAGGTGGGCTGAAGCCAAATATTCTAAACTATTTTGAGAGTTTAAACTTATGACTGTGAGGAACAATTTGTTCTTTTTTTTTTTTTTAACATTTCTGATGTTTCATGACACTTGTTCCAGGCCTTTTAGAAGGTTTGCATTTCATTCTGGCATAAAGAATTAACATGAAAATTCGAGTTTTTGGTATTTTTCTCATATTTTCCACATAACACATACAGTATAGGAACTAACTATAGGCAAAACTCGACTTTTGGTTTTGAGGTAGAAGTAACTAAGGGAGAGCTATGCTTTCCTCCTTTAGTAATTTTGGAGATATTTTCCTCCTGGATTTTGTATGATCTTTGTAGATTTGAGGTGTGATGATCAAGGATTTAGTCTGCTCTACTAGCTGTTGTGATGTATTTTTTTTCTGGACAGGAGAAACAAGCTTAGTTCAGGGATGTTAATCAACGATAGTTTAGGGGTCACTTGGAAGCATAATAGGTTAAGATTCCAGCTTGACTACTTATTAGCAAGCGATGGAATGTTTGTTTCTGTAACCCAGGGATAGCTTGTAACCTTGGGTGTAATTACACCCTTTCAACGTTGAGAATGGCAAAAGAAGGCATGGATACAGGACTTAGCTTCAGGACCAATAGTAAGCTTCCGACTCGTGTGGACCTGTTTGTGGTTGGTGTATAATGCAGGGTGATGGTGGTGGTGGGATTAGTCAACTGGGCTGGTTGAAGTGTTTAGCTCATGCTGTCTAGAGCATGAGGAATGCCTGGTGTGTTAGCTGTTGCTATATCATCTCCTGGCTTCTAGAGACCTGTATAAAGTGAAGCTGGCCCTGTCCTTCCGTTGCTCGTCACATCGCCATCTGCCCATCACCTTGAAAGATAAGCTACAGTGCTTTCCTATGTGTGCATGGACCTTTGCTTCCCTGCCACTTTCTTATTTATTCTTCCTCTCATGCCTAATATTTTATTGGTATCACCAAAGATTACTGATTCTTTTAATTTTAATTTTTATTGGTCTTTTTCTTTAAAAAATATTTAGTGTGTGTGTGTGTGTGTGTGTGTGTGTGTGTGTGTGTTCACAGTTGTGCAAACCACAGTGTATGAGTGCAGGTCAGAGGACAACTTTAAGGAGCCAGTTCTCTCAGTGTGTTGAGGCAGGTTTCTGTGGCAGGGATGTGTATACCAGGCTAGCTGGCCCATTAGCTTCTGGCAGACAACCCCAGCTTCAGCTCTCATATAGCCATTGGAGTGCTAAGATCACAGACATGCACCACTTCCTCTGACATTTTATATGGGTTCCAGGAGCTCTAACTAGGGCCATTAGGGTTTGCAGCAGCAAAGGTTTTTACCTGCTAAGCCGTCTCACAGACCCTGGACATATTAGCCCCATTTAACAAAGAAAACAGTTTGAATATTTTTTCATACTCATCAAATATACTAAAGTATTCCATGCTGTATTAGTTAGTTTTGATGTAATTAGTTAGGTTGGTTTCAACGGTCAACTTGGTTGGATTGAAAGACACTCAGGAGATCGTTGAAGTACATTTCTGGGTGTGTCTATGAGAGTATTTCCATGGGGAAAGGATGTTCTCTGCATGTGTCTGGTGATATGTAATAGGCCATGGGTCCAGATGGGATAAAAGAGGAAGGAGGAAGGCCAGAAACATGAATATACTTTCTCAGCTTCCTGGCTGCCAAGATGAGCAGCCTTGAAGGCCTACTCCCATTGCCATGCTGGTCTCCTTCATCTGAGGCCCAAACCAGTGAACTCACAGCTCTGAAACCATGGGGGGGGAGGGGAAGAGATACAAATACCTTTACATTGTTTCTGTCAGGCATTTGTCACAGTGACAAGGACTCTGAGTAGCACACATGGCAGATGGGAGTAGCATGGCACAGAGTGTTACTGTCATAGCTGGCTAATGTGTAGCCACTGTTACCTTACCATATTGTGGTTGATCTAGATTAGCTTTCTCTTAAGAATAAGAGATGCTTTGTTCTGCCCCAGTGAACAACTAGATTGTATGTAATTCAGGTTGAAGATAGGGAGGGGTGCTGAAGTCTCATGCTTTGTGTCTATCACCCTGTATTTTGAAGTTCTGCCTTATCTGCCACTGGAATAATGCAGTTATTTCTTAGATTGTAATGGTTGAAAGCTGGAGTTGTCAAAGCTTTGTCTTAAGGGATCCTGTTTTATTTTCTTGTTGTATCATCTAGCCTCAAGACCCACACTCATTTTAGACACCTCCCTGGAGTGAAGGGTCCTGGCCATTGAGCAGCTGGCTTGCTATACAGAAGGAAGGCTGAAGCAGCCACCCCTCCTCATTACATGGTCTGCAGCAGAACTGCTGACATTTCGCATGTACACACAGGGTTCATGGAAGAACTGGCGCTGACATTCCTTTAACATTCAACAGGGTAAAAATACCAGTTGCTTCTGAGGGTGGCTGGCATCTGATTTTAATTTCCACTCACACACTGACATCACTAAACAATCCCTATGCTGTGAGCCTGGTTTTTCTTTTCAAGCTGGAGACTGACATCTTTGTAACAGTGCATGGTAGGGTTTGAGACCCAGCACATGAATGCAGCATCCGAGGACACCCTCCACAAGGCAGGGTTTCTCTGCTCTGGTAGAGCCCATGCTGTGGGCTTCAGCATGTGGCCTACATTGTTGCTAGGCCAAAGCCAGTAACCTCAGAAGTCTTGTCTGCTGACATAAAGCTCAAAGACTTTTGAGCCACGGTTTTGAAGTATTGTCTTTTTTTTCAATACATGTATCAAAAATGTAAACAAAGTTTATATTCTCCTTTCTGCAGGATCTTTCCAGCTTTCTAAAGAACATCCCTGAAGACCCTGTTTAATGTCTGGGAAGATATTTGCTCTTTTGGGGAGGGAAGGACAGCCCCTTCATAACATTTCCCCTGGAGGGTTTATTGGTGGATGGTTGGCAACCTGTTTAATGTCTAGGGAGATGTCTGGTCTTTTGGGGAGGGAAGGACAACCCCTTCATAACATTTCTCCTGGAGGGTTTATTTGTGGCTGCTGGGCTTTGTGAAATACTCGGATCTTCCTATGCATGGTCCTTCAGCATTCATTAGGAATGATGTTGAACATTATATGCTCTTTTGGTTGTCCAGCCAGGTGGACACCAGAGCTAGCACAGCTATGTGAACTTGCCAGTGTTTGCTTCTGAAGACAGAGTTAGAAATGAAAAACAAAAAAAGACTGTTGAAGTTATTGATAAGAAATTTGAGTTTGTAATATTCCTTCTCTCTCTGAGTAAAAAGAGCTTCCCCAGTTTAAGAAAAACAGGGTCTTATTTTAATTCAGTTGGAAGAGTCCTAAAGAAAGGGATAGAGAGGAAGGGACAGGGAGGGAGGGCTAGGGAGTGAGAAGGGGAGGGACAGAGAGGTGAAGAGATTGCTGGGGAGGGGGGAGACTGGGGAGGGGAGAAGAGGGTGGTATAGATGTTGCATACAGCCGTGGGAAGGCCAGAAGAGGATGTCTGTCAATCTATGCCTTGTCCCCTTCAAACAGGGCCTCCTGGAACTGAGAGCTTATGGTTTTGTGAATGTCAGTGAACTGCTCCTCCACTTAGCTTGGTGTTAAAGGCTTGAGCAGCTGCACCTGGCTTTGCAAAGGGTGCTAAGGATATGAACTCAGTAGCAGCAAGTGTTCTTACCCACCGAGCCAGCTCCCCACCCTAGTCCTGGAATTTGTCATTTTACTTAGTAAGCTGGGAACTCATTTAACAAAGTCCTGTAGGGACAGACTTCAGTTCATTTTGTTCAAGTGGTATCTGTAACTTAAGGTTTTCTTTTTGCTGTTATAATGAAAAGCCACACTCAGCATGTAATTTACGACTAGGACTGACTCAGTAACTCCCTATTAAAAAGTTAGATTCATTGAGGTATAATCTAAGTACAATAAAATCCCCCTCTTTTGGTGTACTGTGAACTTTGACAAACATAGGCAGTTATACCAAGCAAGTAAAAGTGTGCAAGAGAACCTTTGTCTTACTCCCAAGACTCCCTATGTGCGTTTGTAGTCAGTGCCTGCCCTCTGCCCCCAGTGCCCGAAGTCCTTCGCTGGATCTGTTTT